AAAAAAAAAAAAAAAAAAAAAGGGGGGTAACCAATAATATATTAGCTCGTGATATCTCCATGTATTTATATATATATGTTACACATGAGCGCTGACAGGGACCAAAGTTAGAAAAAAGATGAGTGGAAAAAGAGCGCGTGTATACAGGAAAACCGGCTCTTCTCCGTGGTATAATCTATATCTTCCTCCTGCATAATATGCATGTACAGCTATATAAATGTGTATATGGTTCCACGCGGGGCGATGCTTTATACAAGTACTGGGCGTCATTGCGGATAAATATCCAGAGGATGGAGCGCGATGCGCGCACATGTACATACATATATATATATATACCGTATGGGCAGGTAAAAGTCCCGTGGTTGGCCGCGGCGAGGTGGGCTCCTCTGTGTATCTCTATGCTCCTCGGGTTCGACGGCCGGTCAGTCCCAGTTGTTGGTGCCGGCAAAAGGAGCTTTAACGTGTCCGGTGTATGCACATATATATATACTCTCTAGCTCTCTTTCTCTCTAGCTTTGCTCGCTTCTTTCTCCACTTTCTGCTGATATACAAGTACTCGGGGGGGTATGGAGCGCAGGCCCGCGCCGTGAAGCGGAATAAAAAGACGAGAGGAAGAACGAGGAAGAGAACGGAATGGTCGGGAAGGTGGAACAGCTGAATAGGAGCTGGGAAGCAGCGGTGGTACGAGCACTTGTATATATACGTATACATATACCAATATATAAATACATGCATTTACACGAGTTCTGAGGGGTAAGGGGGGGGTTTTTTGCAAGAGCTGCCGCTGACTCCTCTTTTTTTTCCCCCTCTTCCTCTTTGGCTACTTCCTTATTGCCGTGGTTTTTTGCTCCTTTTCCCCTTTTCTTCGCGCGCTCTCTCTGCACCGGCGAATTTTCCGCGACCGAGTCATTCCGCTCCAAGGTTTTTCTCCGTCCTCGTGTACGAGGGGGGGTATATATATATATATAGGTACTCGAGGGAACGAGTGACACGTGTTAAAAGCGAGAGATAATGCCGTATGGTTATTTATACACGCGAGCCGAGGCGAGGGAGCGGAAACACGAGAGAAAGAGATTCTCATCGGGCAGCCAGTATACATTCAACCCTTTCCACCGACTCCCTATTACACGGCCGTGCACGGTACCACGTGTTGCAGTCCCGAGGTTTACATGCAGGTATATACGTATACACGCGGGGTAGGTAGGTACACCAATCAGGATTTATGCTTCTTTTGCTATATAAATATACACGCTGTACATGTATAAATACGAGTGCAATATGCCAAGGGGCATGCCAATAACTATACAGTGCTACCACCACCGAGGGTGTAATCTGTCTTGTTTCATCGATTGGCCTGTGTATAGCGGACAACAAGTTGGCCTTACAGCTGCACGTTCTTTATGACGGAGACGGATTTATCTCCCTTTTTTTATTGCTCCACGAGTGATTTTACCCCCTCGCTGCAGTTGCTCCCGCAAAGTGACCATACGAGAGACACATGTGATTATTCGCGGGGGGGCGTGGGTTAACTTGTAAGCTCAAGGATCATCCCTTATTTTGAATCATCGTACATCAACTTGTCGAGGCAATTGTGGTTTTGGAAAAATCCTTTCGTTTGTACCTATCCGTATGTACGTCATTGCAATGGAATTTCCCGAATATAAGCGAGCAGATCGGAATGCGTTGACCAATTAAAGGTACATAGGTGTAGGGTACTCCGATGGCAAAGGTACAGGTACACACGATATACAAAAGAGTGTGGACTGCGTGGATAATACGGGTATCCTATATTATGCCTTGGAATGCTACAGCTTGTGTACTTATCCGTTGTGTACGCGTATTGAGGAAAAGCCAAGAAAGAAAAAAAAAGAAAAGCAAAGGAAAAAAAACGGTGATAAGGGTGCAGGAAAAGGGGATAAGCTCATTGCAGGTGAAAAAACGGACCCAACGTGCCAGTAAGGGATTTCCATAATTCAAACGAGTAGTGCACAACACCCCCTCTCTCTGTCTCTCTCTCTCTCTCTCTCTCTAGTGCAGGGCTTTTGAGCCGTTCTTCCTTATACTATTATTATTGTTATTATTCTTTTTTTTTAATATTATGTACATACATATACAAACACGTACAAACTTGGAGAGACAAGATCGCGGGAGTACACGGAACAGCGGTACCTATATACATATATATATGTATGTGAAATATGCGCGATAAATTTTATGCGAGAAAACAGTCCCTCCCTCTGTACGAAGGGATCGCGCCGAGCATCGGGAAAGCAACACGAGTTCGAGATAGTACCCATATACACATATATACGTATACGTACATGCGTCCAGTACTTACCCGTGTGCTGCAAATGTATATACGAATATAATCGATCTCTCTCTCTCTCGCCAACACACGCGTGGAATATGCACAACGCATACCGATGTACCCAAGTAAAGGTATAAATATAGGCACACTGCACGGATGACGGGCCAACCGATTGGTAAGCTCAGATAGGACTCAGCTTCCCAAGCCGATGTGTAGGTATCCTTATCCCTATACTTAATACGTGTGTATGTATCCATCGGGAGAAACACTTGGCCAATGTGCTTTCGCGTATCCCCTTGCGCTTACAGAGGTATATTTTATACATTGTACAGGGTATAACGCTGTTATTCATCTGATCGTGTATACCTGCGCGTAATAGTTTAAAGAAATCACACGTATGGGTAAATTAGCATAGGCGCGCTATTTCTGATTTTGCCCCCCCCCCCCCATACATATAGGGGATCGTTGATTTTTTGCGGGAATCATCGTCCTGTGTCGAACGTGTGACGATCGAGTAAATTGCTCGTTGTTTTACATACCACATCTCTCGTCAAATCGGTTCGAGCAACGCGCCAGAGGGTCTTATGCCGTGCAATCTTGCGGCAGTCCGCGTCCAGCGAGGAACAACGTAAAAGAAAAAAAAAAAAAAAAGGGGGGTAACCAATAATATATTAGCTCGTGATATCTCCATGTATTTATATATATATGTTACACATGAGCGCTGACAGGGACCAAAGTTAGAAAAAAGATGAGTGGAAAAAGAGCGCGTGTATACAGGAAAACCGGCTCTTCTCCGTGGTATAATCTATATCTTCCTCCTGCATAATATGCATGTACAGCTATATAAATGTGTATATGGTTCCACGCGGGGCGATGCTTTATACAAGTACTGGGCGTCATTGCGGATAAATATCCAGAGGATGGAGCGCGATGCGCGCACATGTACATACATATATATATATATACCGTATGGGCAGGTAAAAGTCCCGTGGTTGGCCGCGGCGAGGTGGGCTCCTCTGTGTATCTCTATGCTCCTCGGGTTCGACGGCCGGTCAGTCCCAGTTGTTGGTGCCGGCAAAAGGAGCTTTAACGTGTCCGGTGTATGCACATATATATATACTCTCTAGCTCTCTTTCTCTCTAGCTTTGCTCGCTTCTTTCTCCACTTTCTGCTGATATACAAGTACTCGGGGGGGTATGGAGCGCAGGCCCGCGCCGTGAAGCGGAATAAAAAGACGAGAGGAAGAACGAGGAAGAGAACGGAATGGTCGGGAAGGTGGAACAGCTGAATAGGAGCTGGGAAGCAGCGGTGGTACGAGCACTTGTATATATACGTATACATATACCAATATATAAATACATGCATTTACACGAGTTCTGAGGGGTAAGGGGGGGGTTTTTTGCAAGAGCTGCCGCTGACTCCTCTTTTTTTTCCCCCTCTTCCTCTTTGGCTACTTCCTTATTGCCGTGGTTTTTTGCTCCTTTTCCCCTTTTCTTCGCGCGCTCTCTCTGCACCGGCGAATTTTCCGCGACCGAGTCATTCCGCTCCAAGGTTTTTCTCCGTCCTCGTGTACGAGGGGGGGAAAAAAACAAAGTTCATAATGCCCATCCCTCCCTGGTTGGATATGGTTATCGAAAATCATCGTCAGGCGCGTACCGTGTTCTTTTCAATCGAGACCCTTGCACGTGAGGGAGGAAGTTGCGGCGATACGCGACCAAGTATATGGAATTCAATGATCGCGCGGTTATATGGTCTGCCCATCACGAGTACAAATATCACTTATATACAGTTGTCAGGGTTGCATCGCAAGATGATCGTTGCAGCTGGTGATGTTATGCCTTATTTGTGGAGCAAAACGCGGAAGAAGAAGAAAAAGAAAAAGAAAAGCCAGCTGTACGTTATACAGCTGCGATACCACATG